GTGTCCCATAACAAGGTAATTTTTCTAACGGGAGTGTATAAATACCACTCGTGTAAGGAGGCCTTTGTCCATATTGATTTTATATCCCCAGTATCGCCCATCACTAATTACTGTCCACAATAAACGTTTGGAACAGGGTTTGTAATATCATCTCTGATCAGTCATCGATATTAATAGGAATACTATTGAAACCTCTACCCACCCCGGGTAGCCTGCGTCGCTGGCGGTTTTAAGGGTTGGGGTTGGGGTTGAGGCGCGGGCAACGAAAATTAGGGAGGCGAGGCGCGGGAAGGGGAAAAACCGCCAGCTACGCAGGCTAACCCATAGAGATTATAAATAACACTATAAACTATAATAATATAAATAGTGTTATTTATAATCTCTATGGGCTAACCCCGGGTCCGATTCAGTGGGGCAATCTACAAATGGTGAATCAACGCGCGAGACGCGTGAAGAGCACTGAGCTATACTATATTACTGGAGGACCTGCTCGGGATCAAAAAGTGTCGCCAAAAACATGGCGGATCTTACGCCATTTCCATGACAACACTTACTTTATTTTCATGGTAATTGCCACTGACCAACCGCGATCCTAAGCTTCCGACAATGTCCTTAACCCCCCTGGTTTTTGGGCAAATATTTAATATTTTAATACGATATAGATATTTAAAAGTGTTCTGTTGTTTTTGAGCTAAAAAATCTTAATATTTCCCTCGAACATTACTTGTTTTACAACGCGGAGCGAGGGTGCGGGTTTGCTTCGCTTGTGGATCAGCATTTCACTACAAAGAAAGACTAATTCTTTCAGGTAAGATTCACGAAACTTTTTTATAACTTTCTAGACGACTAGACTGCTAGAGTCACTAGATATGAAGGGTCATATTTATGTCGAAAACTCATCATCCTAATATATACAGCAAATATTTCAATAGGGGACATAAAAGTATTGTTAACGATTAAACATTGTGTACATGAAATTATGTTGTTTTGTGTCAGCACTGGTCTTTGTGGTTTTATTGCCAGTTTTTATTTAATATACTAAAGTAGCCAGGGTTCATTGGGTCATTCCATTTATTATCCGCACCCCCCCTATGGATGAGCTCTGGTAAAAATGTTACCTGTAGGAATCGGATTTCAGAGATTTCAGAGAAGTACCCTGTTGGAATCGACAGTATCAATCTAAACCCTAGGAAT